TAGTCCAACGAAAAGCCCAACGAGAACTCCAACGACACGTCATCTTGGTCTTCGAATCTGCTCAGCCACAAAAAACTGAGCAGCATGAATCCTGAACACCCACGCGACTCGACCCCAAACGACAGTTGGGGTCATCAGACACTTCGAAGAGAGCGTGCACCGCAGACCATGGATGACGACTTGAAGCCGTGGGGCTTGTACAGCCTTGAAGGCGCGCACCAACCTGAATCACTTGAGACCATGAAGAATCTCTTCACACGATACCGTAACGTTCGAGGCAAGGGAACGAATCACACATACACTGAAGACGCACTGCAACGATCTTGGTGTGCCTTCATCAGACGTTGGAACGCGAGTCGACGTGAAGGGGTATCCTTCACGTCCTGGATCGAGGGAAGCGAAAGTACTCATGGCGACCACGCTATTGGCGACTTACGACGACGCGTATGTCATTTGACTCGTGATGGGTTCCACATGTGTTACGTCCATGTCCGTGAAGGGTGTCCACGGTGTCACATGGAGAGACCGCGACCAATGCGGCAGGAATGGGACGACATGGTGTGTGCACGGGGAATGCCCCAGCACATCCGACCATGGATTGGACGCTATGAGAGGAGCCTCTCAGAGCTCCAAGTATCTGCGTTGTGTCACATGAGGGAACGCCCTGTCGATCAATGGAGGCGTTCACGTAGTCGAGATCGTTTGTCTTACGACCACCGAGGTCGTTCTCGTAGTCGCTCTCGACCGTCAAGGTATCCAAATGCTCCCGAGCCTCGTAGAAGACGTCGGAGTCGCTCGGGAGATCGTCGTCGATCGCCAATTCACGCACGTTACGGTTCGCGGGATCGTGGAAGGAGTCAGCAGCGTTGGTCGCGTTCGCCGACCTCTTACTGGTCTCGTACTCCTCAACGACGTCAGGAACATCGTGAGCCAGCATACTTCGAGGCTCCCACGTGTCTTCCGTTGGTGAATAACCCAACCATCGGACCTTGTAATGCGTTTCTGAACGACTCTTCGATGGCGCCGAGCCACTACTCGGCGCAAGAGGCGTGGGGTCTTCATGACCGATGATACGGTCCACAATCCAGCGTCGCTCACCCGATGCATCTACCAAGGGAGGAGGAGCATCACGACGGAAGGCTTCTTGGGTTGGGCGCCGATTCTCATAATCGGGCGCCTGTGCCGTCGAGTGACGAGCTTCGTTTCCTTCGTGCTGACACTGAAGAGGCGATGAACGGCCTTCTGGATGCCCGTGAGATGGCCGAGAGGGCTCGAGATCGTGCAGCAGCTGCGACAGAGGCTGCCGAGAGAACCCGACGGGAGCAGCAGGGCTTGGTGGAGCGTCTGCGACAGCTCGAGACTGCTGCGTTCGGTGGACCCCAGCAGAACGAGTCTGCTCGCGCTCGTCTAGGACTTGGTCCCAGTCGTCGTCAGCGTCGTCGGCAGGGGGTGTCGGACTTTGAGCCGATACAGACGCGTGAGGAAGGACCAAAGGGAGATCCGCCGGCAGGTAAGCCTTAAGGCGCCCGACATAGAATGTCGGGTGCAAACGCATAGTGGTAGGTATGTCTAGCGTGTAAGCATCTCCATGGACTTCAACAATCCGAAAGGGCCCAATATATCTTGGCGCTAATTTATTAGCGCCCAAATTCGTTACTGACGTGTCTGGTAATCCGCTTGTCAATAGTAAGACTCTGTCACCTTCTTTAAACGTCAGCAAGTTCTTTCGACCTCGCTTGTCCGCGTTCTCCTTTTGTTTATCCACTGCTTCTTGGAGTGCATCGCGTACAAAACGCGTGATACTTTGCCGTAGTAATAGGAATTCGGTCACAGCAGCCGAGCTAATAGGTGAAGTGAGCTCTGTAGGAGCAAAATTAGCTAAGGAGGGCGTGACGGGATGCATCGCGTCGGGACTTGAGATGCCGTTGGCCACAAAATTAACAGCATGAGTTGCATCGGCAGCAACCTTGTCTTCAACATTACCAATCATCAAAATTTTTCGCGTAGTGTCATCGGCAGATACTCCCCCACCAAGCTGAGAAACTGGGTGTGCTGAAGCTGAAAGAGCAAGATGCGCTGAAACGCGAGGGTGCCTCGCGGTATTCACGAAAAATGGCGTCAATCCTGTTGACGCATCGACTGCATTGTTGATTGCAAATTCGGCGAGAGGGAGAAACGAACTCCACGACGTGAACGATGTCGCATAACTGCGTAGTACATCTTCAAGCACTCTGTTCACGCGCTCCGTTTGCCCATCCGTCTCTGGATGGGCTGCCGTAGACATAAGCAGTCGCGTGCCCAATAGTTGAAACAACGTTGCCCAAAAAGCTGATGTAAAGCGCGGGTCGCGGTCCGAAACAATTGATTCAGGCAAGCCGTGATGTCGAAATATGAGATCGATGAAGATCTGCGCGGTCGTCTCCGCCGTAACGTGCGCGGAGACTGGAGCAAAATGCACCATTTTGCTAAATCGATCCACAAAAACCAATACGCCCGTGCGTTTCTGTTCGTCCGGAGGGAGACCAAAGATGAAATCCATGCTGACCGAACGCCAGGCTTCCGTGGCAATCGGAAGCAGACGCAATGAAGCTTGTGAAGACGGCGCAGGCTTCACACGCTGGCATATTTCACAAGAGCGTACCCATTTCTGGATGTATTTGTACATACGCGGCCAGAAAAACACACGAGAGATGGCCGCGAACGTCTTCTCGCGACCCAAATGACCACCAGTTGGAGTGTCATGAAATTCATGCACCAATCGTGCGCGGAGGTCGTCATCAGCAGGGATGACGACGCGCAAGGGGTCGAAAACGTCCATTGTATAAGTCAGCAGCGGACCATCAAGCGCGTACCGCTTGATGTTGTCACGCGTTGGTTTCGTCAACTTCGCGAGTGAACCCTCACTAGGGTGTCGAAGATAATTGATGATTCCCGTGTAGAATGAATCGTTCGCATATGACTCAGCGATTTGAGTCCGGATTGACAGCTCAGGTGTCGAAATCATTGCATTGATCCCCTGCTCAGCACAGCATAAACAAATGTCGTCGTCCTCGTCTTCAGCAATGCCTGGCTGATGACCCATGTCACGTCGAGGATCATAATCGGGACGTCGAGAAAGCGCGTCAGCAAGAATGTTGTTCTTGCCGGGTTTGTAAAAGACCACGAAATTATACTCTGAGAAGTATGACAACCAACGTGCCATTCGCTGGGACAAGTGGGGAGTCTTGACGGCGGTACGCAATGATGCGTGATCTGTATAGACCGAAAACATCTTCTCGCCGAGCAAATATACTCTGAACTTGATCAGCGCGTAACGCATAGCCAAAAGCTCTTCATTCCAATAACGTGAACGAGAGGCATATGGTACGTAATTTCCTTGTAGAAAATTCTGTAAGCGCTATGTGATGGTAATAAAAGAAAGCAGGATATTTTTATTAAGAAGGCCACCAATCGCTGGTAGACGTGCGCAATGAGTGGTGAGCAGGTTGTCGATAAACGACGACGTAGTTTAGTGTAGTCAGATAAAGATTAAAGTTACATTGATAGCTTAATTATATCGTCGTTTGCATTCATGAGAACGGCACAAGCCATGCATAGATGCCATCGCTCGCTCTGTGCAACGCCGGTGTCGTGGAATCACGATCCACGACTACAACGTTTTACCAATTACTTGGGGACACCAAGAGATGGATAACCACTCCGCTGACTTCGAACTTGCGTCGACGTCTCACTGATCTTGCTAACCAGTCAATCTGGGGCTTGTAAAGTGCCAACCATGGCAAACCCAGGATGCAATCAAATGCATAATTTCTCTTAATCACCAAATTAAATGCTGTTGCTACAATAGCCGTCGAACGTGTACGGAAGTGACACTTCGCGCCGCGATACGCGGCGTGGTTTCTCGTCCGCGAGATTGACGATAACTTAACCTGGCCCCTCGAGCACCTGGATACTGGGTGGCAGCAACGACACACAAGATTCAAGGAAGAAATTGTGTGTTGCTCCTGAATCCAGGTTCCTTGTCATGTACCGGATAGTTCCGCTCTGCGGGTTTCATCTGTCGTGACTGAAAGCTCACGACGCGCTCTCGGCCCTCATCGTCAAACTGCATGAGGGCACATCCAATAGCGAAATTACTCGCATCACAGACGACGTGAAATGGCTTGGAATCATCAGGCAACATCAGCACTGGTGCTTCAGACAAGCTCTTTTTCACAGAGTTGAAGGCAGAGTGATGTTCAGCTTTCCATGACCAAACTGCGTCTTTCTTCAGTAGAGTCGATAGTGGCTGGATTAGTTCTGCATAGTTCTTCGTATACTTATGCAAGTAATTGGCCAAGCCAAGCCATTGGCGTAGTTCCGTTTGGTTCCTGGGCGTAGGCCAGGAAAATATCGATGACACTTTCTCGGGATCAGCACGGACACCCTCCTTGCTAACATAGCATCCAAGAACTGGAATCTCGGGAGCGCAGAAGACGCACTTCTTCAAATTTGCGTACAGTTTGTTCTCGCGCATCACTTGGAACACCTGTTTCAAATGCCGAAGGTGGACCTCCGTAGCGCTGAGTTGTTGCTCAGCGCGGCTGTGAACAAAAATATCGTCGAAATAACTTGGAGCGAAATCACGTAGTGGCCGAAGCACTTGTGTCACCATCCGGTTGAACGTTGCTGGGGCGTTCTTAAGGCCTTGTGGCATGACTAGCCACTCCCAAAGCATCCCACTCGGTGTGCTGACAGCGGTGAACGGGATACCACTGTCCCTCATTAAAATCTGGTAAAACTCGTCTGTCAGGTCTATGGCGCTAAAAATCTCGCTGCCGAACATGGTATCCAGTACCATGTCTTTCCGAGGAATTGGTGTTTGAGCCGGGATCGTGGCGTCATTTAACTTGTTAAAAGCATGCACGATGCGCCAACCGCCGGTGGCTTTCTTCACACAGAAAGTCGGACTCGAATGTGGCGATATGCTTTCGCGGACGTGTCCTGCCTTACGGCGGCCCTCAAAAAAATTCATCAATTGCGATGACTTGGTCACGCGGTAGCGGCCACTGCCGCGTCACGCAATACTTCGATCCTGGCACGAGATCGATCTCGTGTCGCACACCACGGTCCGCTGGAAGCTCAGCGGTGATATTCTCCGGAAAGATGTCGGCATACTCTCGCGCGATATCATAGACAGGGTTGCCCGAAGCACGAAGGGCTTCCCAAGACTGTGCCACGAAACGTTCTTCGCGCGCTGATTTGGGCTCAGCGCTCTTTGGGCGAGCCTCCAGAACTTCTCCACTAGCTGCTTCGGCGGCTGATATGATGCACACTTGCTCGATGTCGCCGGCCTTGAGGTCGTGAAGAAAATCTTTCCATGGTAGGGTTAATAGAGATATGATCTCTGCAACAGTGCACGGAGGGCTCGCTACCTCAACGTAGCGGCCACGATGTGAAGACCCTTTCACATATTCAAGCGCACAAACGGATTCCGTCAATACAGTATCATCGTCAACGGCGCTTGAGCGAGAATTTCGTCGTCTTGGTGATCGGCGTGCACCTTTCTTGCGTTTACGCTTTCTCTTGCGTCTTGAGCCACTGCTCGAGGTTGGAACGTCGCTGTCGCTGGAGGATGAAGTACCCCCCGCTAGACGTGGGAGCTCTGTCTCCACCACGTCGTTCACATTTAAGTCCACAGCCCGTTCATTCTTGTCGATAAGAGGCGGGAGCTCGTCGTCGACCGCCTCAGATGTATGTGGGAGCCTCTGCTCGACCACCTCGGTTACAATCGGGAGCCTCTGCTCGGCCGTTGTGTGTGTATGCGGGAGCCCCTGCTCGACCGCCTCGCTAGAACTCGGGAACCCCTGCTCGACCGAAGTCCGTGTGTGCGGGAACCCCTGTTCGACCGCCTCGTTGTGAATCGGGAGCCCCTGCTCGACCGATGTCCGTGTGTGCGGGAACCCCTGTTCGACCGCCTCGTTGTGAATCGGGAGCCCCTGCTCGACCGATGTCTGTGTTTGCGGGAACCTCTGTTCGACCGTCTCGTTGTGAATCGGGAGCCCCTGCTCGACCGATGTCTGGGTTTGCGGGAACCTCTGTTCAACCGCCTCGTGTTGTGGTTCTATCAGTGTGACTGAACATACCGGACACAGAGGGCCATCGCTCTCTCTGTGCTGACTTCTAGTCGTGGCGAGTTCGTTCACGACCCTGACGTGAGGCCAATCGGATGGCGCTACCAACAGATGAGTGAAAACTTCACTTACGTCGTAACCGCTTCGTCGTTTTGACGGACCGAGATAGCCAGTCTATCGTCGGCTGATATCGTGACAGCCACGGTATCCCCAAGATGCAATCGAATGCATAATTCATCTCGTACACCAAAAATTCGTCATTACTTTGGAAGCCGTCGAACGTGTACGGCAAAACCACTGTTTTACGCGGGACACGCTGTGGTTGTCCATCAGCAAGTTTGACAACGATGTCACCTGGACCTTCTCGAACCGTAACTGTCGACGGGAGAAGGGACAAACATGATGCTCGAAAGAAGTTGTTGGATGCACCCGAATCCAACAACGCTCGAAGTGGTCGTTTAACTCCAGCAACGATGAGACTGATAATTATCAGTCTCGAATCGTCGCGCATAGTGGTGGCATTGAAGTGGGTATGTATCACTTTAGGGATAGGAGCCCGAGCTGCCACCTGAGTACTCGGGGCTCCATTACTGCCAGTAGGGCGCCCCGCACCTACTTGAACCGCTCGTTTTTTGGCGGGACCACTGACGACACAGTATCTCCACGTGAGACAGCTGTGTTCATGGACACCGGCGCTGGTGTACGGCAGACGGCCGCACGATGGCCAGTCTTGCCGCACCGATAACACTTCGTGTTTTGACTTCGAATGTCGCGGCCAAATTGCTTGCCGCGACCACGAGATGCATCGATAACGTCAATTTCCATAGGCTCTGGGCCAGACGTACGCGGGCGTTGCGACGCTGCCTGCAAATATGACGATGCGACCGTGTAATCTTCACGAAGCGCGAGGGCAAATGCCTCCTCAAGAGTCTTAGGTTCAGCACGTGTGAGGCAATAGCGGGTCATGCCCTCTTGCATACCAAAGACAAAGACATGAACTTGCGAAGCCATGTCGATAGGCTGCGTGATGATACACGAAGCAAGATGTCGCGTCTTCTGTACGTAATCACGCATCGACAGCTTGCCCTGTCGAAGTGAAAAGAAATCTGCGCGCAAGCGTGACTCATCTTGAGGGGGCTCGAACGCCAGTCGTAAGTCGCGCTGGATATCGTCCAGCGTGGGGAATGCCAACTCGTTTACAACGAGCTTCCCAAGAGCCCATTCTTTGGCTTTACCAACAAGCCGAGACAGTAGGAAATTAACCTTGGCCGTCGGAGCGTCAATCAACCTTGACGCTATGGCGATATCAATCTCCCTAAACCAGCGATTAAGGGGGAGACGATCTGGACCATTACCAGAGTATGTCGACGTCTCCATTTTAATTGCATCGCAATGGGAGGGGCGCGAGGGAGTATGTACTCGCCGGTTCGCTTCGGCGAGCTCGCGCACCATGTAGTCTTGAATGGCGGCACGGTGTTGTTCGGGCGTCGCTGTGCTCAGCAGCGACGTCACGAAGATTTCACCAGACACCGCCGCGAGGCGGTGTAATGCCTGCCATTCTACCGTAGTGAGATGGGGAAAATCTGCATGCTCCAGCGAAACTGCTGGAGCCATCGAAGATTCACTCATATCCATCTCGAACTTGGTCATGGGAAGGACTACGAAGTGCTACCAGGTGTAACGGGGTGAGAGCCCGTTACCGTCTTACACTAATAATTAAGCTGAGGAAGCGCTGTGATTTATAAGGTAAATTTAACTCTGTTTGTATTTTTGTGTTTTTATAATTCGCAGTAAGTGCGAATATGTTCCCTAGCTCATGGGAACCACTCAAATACAGAACTAATTATTATTGGCTAATTATTGGGTCTGGCACCCCAATAATAAACCAATAATAAATAGACGCGCAGTATCCGCTATCCGGATACTGCCTACACTTAATGTATGTAATTATGTAATAAAACTATGACTACTTAATATAATGGGTTGCCCCATTACAGTTAGTTACATTGCTACTCGACGAAGAGACCGTATAGCGAGCACCAGTAGCGCTGATATCGATTATCTCCTTGAGTTGACACAGTCGGACCAGAAAGGTGCATGCACACATGCTTTACATCGTGCAAGATCCGAATTAATCGTAAAAAGCATTGCATTATATGTCTGCACGTGTTGTACCTTGTTCGGGCCAAGATGGCTCTTCTTTTTCACTTAAAATATTTTGGTGTCTCGTGGTTGCGCCCCCTACAACGGCATCCGTTTAATTTAAGCTATGCTGGATAATTATGAATAACAAGCCAGAACCAGATTATAGTGGTCTTCATATGTGTTTATGAACAGAAGATGTCAGTATCATCGGGTCTCCTGACACAATATATTGCAAACTCCCCAAGTTGAAGCGTGTAATGCTGTCGTGATAGATGATTGATTTTAGTGCCGTATATGCCACTGTATGAAAATGGATCATTGCCTTATTACAAGAATCCATCGTCGAATTTTCCCTTCAGCAGTTTTCCTATTCGTCATACAAAGGTTTTGCGAAAGATAAGTGCGTGATCAAAACACTTAATAAATGTAGAGCACTTAAATCGAAAGCTTTAGATTCGGCCTGTATCTTCTTCTAGCTCTATCTCTACGGCAGATTCGAATACTTTTAGTAACACAATTAGCAAGGTGATCTTGCAGTAAAAATGTAAGGCAAAGACTGAGGAGAATGTAAGCCTTCCAAATACCAAAATGAAGACACAGATGATCTTGGGCAGATTCTGCATTGCCAGACATAGATTTAAAAATCGGTGGTGTGTGATTGGGATAGCATATACTGATAGCTGAAAGGTTGATTTAAGATCATCTCTGCTGTGAGCTTTCTCCGCAAGCAGTGCTATGGCCACCGCTCAAACTTTATGAAGTCTTTTGAAGCACGTAGTTCAAAATCAACCACAGTGTCTTTTTATAATAGTGTTAAAGTATACGCAAGGTGCACCCTCTCTTTTAAGGCGGTCTGAGAGCCGATTAACCAAATGTACTCAACGAAGTTGCTTGACGGCTACAATTGCTTTCTTCAGCGCCCTTAGGGAACTTGTAACGGGGCTCCAGTCGCTCATGCTGCCACATAACAAACTGCTTACACTGGACAGAGCAAATTGGTGCCTCTATACTTCATGTGCACGCGTCGTGCATAGGAATATGTCAACACGAGAGAAGGTTAAAAGTAGAAATGCATTTAGTATAGTTATTTCCTGTCAAAAAATTCATTTTGTTCTTTCTTTAACAATATACAAATGCAAATATGTATGGTAACAATCCTCTCGCCACTTATTGCGTTCTTCTGTCTTGGCTCAACTATATTGGTTGATATCATAAATCTATATCAGCAGCGTATTACTTCTACATCACGACATTACTTGTGAAGGTAATATTGTGAGAATTAGATGTCTGTCCTAACATGATCGATAATAATGCTGTGTGCATGGCAAAACAGCTATTTGTCAAATTTGCAAGACATACTGAACCCATTAACGCAACCACATTTTGTTGCCTGTGCAGTTATCAAAACATGGCTACGATTGTACACCACACGCGCGTTATTGCCTTCCTATCGATTATAGTAGAGCTATTACAACACACACCATACGTGTGGAGGTTTAATGCTTGTAATTGTTGAATTTGTGTAAATCTTGTTGTAAGTAAAAGTGAATAGATTTAGCAGTATCGTTATTGTGTGTGAGCTTATAATCATGCACCCCGACGGTACTGTAACATGACCATGTAGGTATAAGATGGCATTTGTCTTGACTGCTCATCTCATACGGTGGTTTCACATTGCAAACGTATCGCGTCGTCGTCCCACTTGTCAAGGTGTCGTCTATCTCTCCTTCTCCATCCGTCAAATCGTCACACAACCGACCAATGAGGTGAGACCGTTTCATATTATTGCATGATCCTTGAAACCTGACAAACTGCAAAAAAATACTTTCTGATAACCTTTTTCGGTGTCATTATGTATGGCCATAAACTTGTACATACCTCGTCATTTTTCTTTTTTCGGTGCCGGCGGAGCCTTCTCTAAAATGTAGGCGATTATGTTATGTGACTTCACGAATCTTTTTACCCCAAAACCTTCTTGTGCGTGATGGAAGACGAACTGAAATCGTGAGTCGACGTATTTAGAGCTCGCTGTTCTTTTCCACGCCTGAGCTTCTTTTTAGAGGCGTAGTTATCGATCCACACCGGTATAGGATCTCGCAAGTTTTGCTTAAGATTGTTTTCAATTCCTTCAAACCCCGTTTATCGCGGTTAGCTGCTATGCGAGGACAAATTCGGTTTTCTTCGTACTCAACCATACTTCTAACTGCATCTTGAACAAATAGCAAAACAGTCCACAGCTAGCAAACAACTAAGCAAAGAATTATGGCCAGCTTTTTCGGCGGCAAAGCTTGTATCGCTATAAAATTGATCCAGAAACTTAAATCAATTAGAATCTTCGAGTATTGCGAAATTCGCTTTGCGGTCTTCCAGTCCTTTGTCGCCGATTTGTATGTCTGTCTCGTGGCTTTGTGACAGCAAATTAAACTTTTAAACGTGTTTGTCATGCAATACAAAGAAGGCTTTTTACCGGCGATTGAATTGACTAAACACTTAACTCACCTGTTACACTAGTCTCCGATTGGGGTTCTTTGTAAACTGTCCTGCTGATTCCAGTCTAAATTCTTCAGCAGTATACCGATAACCATCTCTTGATCCAAAGTGAAAGAGTTTTAGTTCTGCTCAATTTGTATTCTAGAAAATTGTTTACAACCCTCAAGCTATCTGTAAACAGCAAACTCATCTACACAAACAAACTTATCCAATGCGCTCTTCTTGATGACTGTAATCAATAGGTAAATAACTAAAACACCAACCACTACTCAGTTATCATCTTTGTTCTTTTATTACATACACATTTTCGTCGTGCACTACTGTAATTCACATTGGCGCCGCTTGTATTTAATTATTTTAATCCACAGTAACCCAGCATTGATTAGACCACAAA